CTGTGTTGGGCGGTACCACCGCCTATAGCATTGACATTGGGTGGTACCATCGCTTGACACCCTGACACTCGACGGTACCATTGCCAAGACTAGCGGTACTACCGCTGACATAGTCTCGGAGATTGTGTCACGACGGTTTCACCTGTTTGGTGACTGTTTAGGCCTTCCACTTGGCCTAACATAGCCCAAACATGGGTCACTGAATGGGCCTTTCTCTTGGCCCAAAATAGTCATATTTCGGGCCCAATTAATCCCTAATTGAGTTAGTTTAATTATATTCTAAACTGACTTAATTAGACTCTAAACTAACTCGATCTAGACATAATTGATTACAAGCGAATCCTATGTTGTCCAACATGTCAGTAGTTCTTCCAGTGCTTCGTCCGATCCTTCGGCGCTTCGTCCTCTCCTTCGATGTATTGTCCAATTGGCATGTTGTCTTCTCGCAACATCCAATCTTCTTGGCCCGATGATCGAATTCATGGCTTGAAGCCTTCTACGTCGATCGATCCTCCTGCCTGACGTCTAATCTTCTGACATGTTTGCTCTGGTCTAACGTCTGATTCCTCCTACTTTAATCAATTTATCTTTTCTGGTCAATGTTAGCCTTGCATCACTTAAACGAACATTAAATCATAAACACTCTCAATTGGTTTCATCATCAAAATTCGAGATTCAACAAAGATACTTTTTTGCTCTATTTTTAAAGTCATTTGGAGTCTATAAATACCCTATCTATTCTTGTTTGAACAAGCAAGAATTAGAGGGGAAAAGGGAAAGTATGCTTAAAAAAAAAGTGTGCAATCTCTCTTAAAGTACAGAGTCATCTCTTCTTAATATTTAGAAGTCCTTCTAAAGGGAGAAATAAGGTCTAAGTGTAAAAGAGAGAGGTGTAAAGGTGCTCTCCTAAGCATATGTAAAGGAGAAAATTTTATAAGGGTAGTTGATCTTCGTCCGTTGAAAGAAGCTTGGTAGTGAAAGAACCATTATAAATCTGGTTTGTAAATACTTTATACTTTTCATTTATTTTCCAAACTGATTTCTTAATCTCACTATGCTTTTGTATGTTTTTAAGTTAAATATTTATTCGATATGATTTCATCGAATAAAGTTTTCAAATCTATGCGATTTTACGAAAGCACTAACTTCCCCCCCCCCCCCCCCGCCCCCCCTCTTAGTGTCGATTTCAGTCTTAATAGTTGGTATCAAAACCAAGTTTTTCTCAATTGGTTTAACACTCAAGAGAATGACTTTTACCGGTAATCTAGATGGTCACTCTATCATTCATCCTCTTATGTTTAATAAGACGATCGACACATATTATAAAATATTTATGAGGGTTTTTTTTACTTTCTATGGATTTTAATTTATGGAATATTATTGAAAAAAATTTTCAAAAGTCTTCTAAACTAATGAACGATTAGAATGATTTGAAGAAGAAGATTTTTTCTTTGAATGCTAAAACGATGAATGCTTTCTTTATGCTTTGGACAAAAATAAATTTAATCGTGTTTCTATATGTAAAACTGCACATGATATTTAATACACACTCGAAATCACACATGGTGGCACAAGTAGAGTTAAAGATTCTAAAATTAATCTCTTGATGCATAGTTTTGAATTGTTTTGAATAAAGCCAAGCGAAACTATTATTGATATGTATACCCTTATAGATGTTATCAATAGTGTGAAAGCTCTTGGCAAAGGACTTGAACAATTTTCTACTTGAAGAACTTATCGGGTCTTTAATGACATATGAAATGATATGTATAACATATGACGAACATGAGAATAACCTTCCAAAGAACATGAAGGATTTGACACTTAAAACAAAAGAAGACTACTCGAGTGAAAGCTCAAGTGATGATGACCTTGAACTCCCTACAAGAAAATTCAAAAAATTCATAAAACATGAATCTAAGAACAAAAACGAACTTAAAAAAAGAAGAAGCTATCAAAGAAGAAGAAAGCACTCAAGGTAACTTGGGACGAATCGAGTACATCCGAAGACGAGGAGCAAACCGATGAAGATGAAGTGGTGAACTTCGCTTTAATGGCTCTCAACGACGAGGTAAATGAATCAACCGAAATTTCTTTACCTTATAATGAATTATTTGATATATTTAATAATTTGTATGATAAATTTAAATTAGTTAGTAAAAATTTTAAATTACTAAAAAAGAATCATGCTTCTCTTTCTAATAAATTTAAAAAATTTAAAAATGAGCATGATAATTGCATATTAAGCTTTTGCACTAAATGTGAAGAGTTAGATTCATACAAAAAGAAATTTTTGATATTATAATAAACTTTAGAAAAATTTAAAATTGGTAGTAAATCTTTAAATATGATTCTTGTCAATAAAAGTTATGTTCGTAGTAAGAAAGGAATTGGCTTTATGAGTAACACTCAACAAAAGCTAACTACTTTTGTTAAATGATTCACATTACATATTTTCTTTGAAAATAAATATAATTTTTTATAGTAGACATGGTCATTTTATATATAAATATTCATTTAAAAGATATAACTTGCATAAATTAATTTGGGTTCCTAAAGGAACTATGAATGACTTAATACCAAAAATTAAGATAGGTAGATTCAACCATGAGGGACCCAAAGTCAAATGGGTACTTAAAGGAAACCCACCTTTCTTGTAGACATCTCTATAATCGAAAGCTAGGAGTAAAAATAAATTTTTGATAGTGGATACTCAAGGCTTATGACTGGAGATCCAATACACTTTACAAAGCTCACTAGCCGAAACAAAATAATCTTAATTTAAGATGTTTTATGTTCAATGAAATCATACTTGATGATTTTATATTATGCATGAGGATTTAAAGTAACGATGATTTAAAATATTATGTTTTGGAATTATGTGTTATACTTTTGATCTTGATGATTTTTATGATAAATCTTGTTTTCCAGTTTTAAACACGATGCATGAATTTGACATAATAAAAAAAAACTTGGGAATGCTTGTATGAATTCAATCACATGAATTGAAACAACTAAAAAGGGGAAAATATTTTTCTTAAAAATTTCTCAATCGAGTTTTTCAATAAATGATTGATGAATTTATGTTATTTTATGAATCACTTGAACTATGAAAGTGATTTATTCTAAATGAATCAAGATCTTTTATCTCTTATATTTCTTTTTCACTATTTACAAAAGGAGAATTATCTAAATGAATCATTATTTTTCTTTTGATTCTTTAAAATTATAACTTGAAATCTTTTATGAATCAAGATCTCTTATTATGTGTTATTGTATCATTCATTCTTATTATTTAAGAGGAGATTTTTTTTATGAATCATGATTTTTCTTGTGAATTCTAGAAATTATAACTTGAATTTTTTTAATATATGAATCATGATCTTTGACAACTTGAGATTTCTTATAAATGAATCAAGATCTTTTATTCTCCTATGGTCCTTTTTACTATTTACTAAAATAATATCTTTTTTTGAAATTCATGACTTGAGATTTCTTTGACAACTTGAGATTTCTTATAAATGAATCATGTCTTTTATTATTCACATGATATTTGATATTATATCTTTCTTGATATTATTTTCATTATGTATAATTACCTTGTATTTATGATTTATTTATCTTTATCATGATTTAAAAATTGATTTAAAAAGAAAAGAATTATAATATTGTATTCTTCTCTTCTTTTTGACAATTACAAATGGGGAGAAAGATTTGTTTACACAATTTAAGAAGAAGCAAAAAACTTGTTAACTTGCAAAAATTCCTAACTTGCAAAGAAAGAAAAGAAAACTTACTAGCTTGCTCATCTTAAAAGAGAAACAAAGTTTGCTAGCTTGCACATTTCAATAAGATGCAAAAAAAATACTATCTTGCACATCTAAATAGAAGCAAAAATTACAAACTTGCACAAGAGAGATAAAACTTGCTAGCTTTCTCATCTCAAAAGAGAAACAAAAATTGTTAGCTTATATATTTCAAATGAGAAGCAAGAAGTCCTATCTTACACATCTCAAGAGAAGCAAAAATTTTACTAACTTGCACATCTTAAAAAATTTACTAATTTATATATTCTAAAATGACGTAAAACTTGCTAATTTACTAGCTTGCATTCTTTTTCAAAAATTTGCTAGTTGAACTTTTTTTCTTTTTTATGATAAAGGGGAAGAAATTATGATGATAATATGAAATTATACACGAAATACTCATGATATTATGTAATGTACTTTGATATTTTGATACCATAATGATTTGTAATAGTTTGGAATTATGCATGTGTAACAATGCAAACAGTATATGATGATGTTATTCATGATTAAAATCATTTCAACGTGAATTAGAAGGTTATCAATTGATGAATCTTGGATTTTGATGATAAAATCAATTGATGAAAATATGATCTAATGTGTATTTAAGACATTGAGCCCTAGTCAATGTGCCAGAAGGATTTCGTGTTATAAGTTCGGGCAACCATTGCACCAAGGAGATCGAAAATTGAGGGAGTCAAATGAACTAATGACATGTCGAACAATATAAGATTTGCTTTGTAATCAATTGTGTCTAGATCGAGTTAGTTTAAATCCAACCATGCTTGTTGCAAAGATTAAGATTAATCTTATCGATCCATATCAATATACTATCGTTGATATAATATGTATTGAATAATATCAATGTACCGAGATATAATATGATGAGATATACCAACAAATCAGTATATAGTGTTAGTATTGTTATTATTTTATTATCTAAGGATTACAGTCGACAAATAGCTTAAGATTAAGTGATCAGTACTTTGGTTATGCTGTATAAGAGATTTGGTTCATCTGAAGCAGTTGGTTTATGCTTATGATCTTTATTTCATTAATTTGATGTGGAATTAACTGCTCGAATATACACATTTTGGTGCATGAAGTGGATGGGAAGCATCCGCAATTTGGTTAAGCAGGAAGGGTTTTATTGAGATCAATGAAGGAAGGATTCATCTCAAGAAAATGATGGAGTGAAGAGTAATCATCAGATCCATTATCTATTATTGTGACAGAGTGCTCAAGACGAGATCGTATTCGATCCCTTCCTCGAAATTACAGCCGGTCGCGTAGTTGCCGAACAATAGTAGTGCAAGAAACGGCATCAGCTCAATCCTTTTGGCTCGCCCGGGCACACTTGGCTTGGACTGCGAGAGTGGCTGTCGTCCCCTCACATCCCGCGTCCGCGCCGTAGGTCGCCGCCGACACCGGCAACACGCAGCTGGCCTTCCCCAAGCAGGCCTGCCATGGCAGCACAACATGCATGCATCAGTTGAGTTGCTTCACGTACGCACACGTTATGATAAGTCGGATGTTTGAAAGGTTACCTGCTCCACCACACTCTTGGCCTGTCGCGCATGGCAACTCCCTACGGTGAAGTTGCCGCAGACCCCGCTGGGGTTGCCGAAGCTTGCGAAGACGATGGAGCGGATCACCTTATCTCCCGTGCACGTCAAGGTGGCGTCTGGCTTCAAGTCGTTGACGACGCTCTGGATCTGGCTGTTCTTGATGGCCCATGACCTGACTTGCGGAGGGTTGGACTCCGAGACGAAGCTGCAGATGTTGTCCCTCTTCACCGTCATGATCAGTATGTCCTCCGGCTTCCCTCCGCGCTCCTCGAAGACGACCATGAGATTGTCCTTTGACTTCAAGAAGGATCGCGGCACGTGATAGCTGCAGCATGGGGTACACCATCTTAGTAACCGTGCGTTCCTTCCATCGGCATAATGGCATTGGCTGATTACTTACATCGATTGAGAAGGCTTCCCGAGAGGGCTAAGGTAGGAGACCCAGTAGCGACCGATGCTTTCGCCATTGACCCACACCTGTCCTTTCCCCATGGACTTCAAGTCCACAGCAACAGGGTCCTTTCCGTTCGGAGCATCAAAGTATCTCTGGGAAGAACAAGGCTCAGAAACTCGATGTGACTGTGTTGAGACAAAAGACAATGACGTGCTTTACCTTGTACCATGTGATCGGAGAGTCACTCTTCGGGTCCTCCCACTTAAAGGAATCCACTTTCTTCTCGTCGTAGATAGCCTTCCTCTCTCCTTCCATTGCAACCTTGGCGACGGGGAATCCAACGCCAGTGAGTCTGCTTGCATTTCAAGTAAAATAGGGACCAAGGAGGAGAAGGTGAAGTACCTTGTGCCCCCACACGTTCTGCGACAAATCTAACGACCCTGCGTTGAGACCTTGGACGACGACGGTATGAACCCCGGAGAGTCTGTGTTCCAAGTACGCTCCACTATCCTGCATGGATGAAGCATCGAAAGAGTCACCTCATTGCACTGCTGTTAGTTTGCAGAACAACTTAGCTTGCTTTACCGGCAATCCCACTGTCATCCCCAAGATAGCCACGTCATTGGTTCCTGCCTGCAGATCCATCGGCTTCTGGAAGACAAAACTTTTCTCGATTTTGGTTCCATGTCCAGATCCTATGTATTTGCCGTTCACAAAGGCATGCATTGCATGGCCAAGGTGCGAGACTTGGAGCACAGGCCGGATGTCATGTCGCATCGATAGATCGTCTTTCTCCAAGTTGAAGCTGCCGAATATCAACTTATAATCATCAAACCATCTTCCTAGATGAGAATCTTCTGTAAAGAGGAAGACTGTTAACATACCTCGTCGCGTACCAAAGGTAATCCGTAGTATCTTTGGTCATGTTGACTAGTTCCTGAGGCCCTTTGGCTTTAATGGAGGTGTCCCGTACGCTTGGTGGCTGCTCCACGTACATCTGCCACTTGTTGTTCTTGCTGTCTTCCTTTGCTGGATTGAATGTTCTCGCATTGTGCTGAGAGTTAACCTGTGGAGGTGCAGCAAGAGTTACACTACTCTGCAACACCCTCTGTTCTCCAGCCTAAGAAGGATGACAGGTTTCACGGCCTACTCACCATCTGATTGTTGTACACCACAGTCTTGCAGTCAGGGAGGATGCTGATGGAGCGGCGAGGGAGGAAGTACTCCGTACCTCTGAACTTTACGGTCCCATCTCTTCGTGCGTTGGTGTTGGTTAGGAAAGCCACGCACACGTTGTCTTCGGGTATCTCATACAGTCTAGCCTGCAAGCCCAATAAACCATCTCATTGTCTCAGTTCCTCTCTGCTTTCAATAAAATGGTGATCGAGCTCATCTTACCTCAAAACCCGAGCCGAAGCTTTGGACGGAAGGAGATCCCTTTAGAAGAGCCTTGCTGCACAACTTCAATGCATAGTGCAAGTCCCTGAGATGACCCCATTTGGGCTCCTTCGGCAAACCTGAATCAACGTCATGAGTTTAGATGAAGATAGAAGAGACTATGGCGAAAGCTCCCGGCGTCATACCGTATTCATCCAGAGGGGCTTCATCGTAGTATCTCGTCATCACGAAAGCAGCTCCTGTCCTCCCAAAATTGGTTCCTCCGTGGTACTGCAAGCGCATAATGTCATAGATTCTCTAATCTTCTTGATATCTGACGAGTTCTCGGAGAAGGAATCCATACCATGTAGTAGTTCACCAGTGTTCCGTTCTTTGAGAAGAAGCGTGCCACAGAGTACGCGATGTCCTCTGCTGATCTTTGAGATGGTGGATCTCCGAATACCCTGTACCTGAAATAAGCAAGCATCGAGGTTGCTTAGATTCATTCCTGCAAAGAAGGCTGTCTTCTTCATGGAAACTTGGACTTACTGAGCTGTCCAGTTCTCGGTCCAAAGGGAAGGCTTCGTCCGATCGTCTGGGCCTTGAAATGTATCTCCACAGTTCCTTCCATTGCATGCGTTGATCTACACGCATGACACAGTGGTAATTAGATTAGACATACCTACAGCATCACCATCAATCTGCAAACCTGAACATACCACTTCACCAGGAGGATCATTCTGTTTGCACATCACCCACGGCACTCCGGTGTCGAGGCCGACAGCCATGTTGCCTGCCCACTTGATGTATCTTGCGCCGCCCTCGAACGCTCGTGCCACGTTGTTGTACTCGTTCTCGATCTGGTCGATGAACAAGCATGGTCGAGCAGTGAGAAGCAACAAGAGAAGAGAATACGAGAGAAACCGAAGGAGATGCAGAAGCTGAACCTGTGCTAGAATGATGGGACCTCCTTGAGAGGCGAACAGTTTCTCATCCTTCATCTTCTTCACGATCATCGTCGCGAACCTTTTCATATGGTCCTGCATCCACCAGCAAAGTCTTAGAGAAACACAGCGACATGTGGAGTGTACCGCAAATTACCTTGAAGGGTTTATTGTCCGTCCGGAAGGTGATGTTGGCGACTTCCCTGAGCCAATACGGCAACCCTCTGCGACAGATCAGAGAAGATCATGAGACTGATAGGATCTGAGCCGTTAGGAGTTGTAGAGACGAGGAAAGAAAGGTCATCGATGCACACCCATGGTTCCATTCCGCTTGAATGAAGGGACCGAGCCGAAGGGTCACGTACATCCCTTGCTTCTGCACCAGCTTGATGAACTTGACCAAGTCGTATCTCCCTTCATAGTTGAACTGTTGCAGGCAATCACATGGCTCGGCCAAATCATTTCATATAGATTGGAGAATCGTACGTTCATCCGGTTGCATCATTTAGAGCCAGCTTTACCTTTCCATATTGAGGCTCGTGACCGTTCCAGAAGACGTAAGTTTGGATCACATTCAGCCCTCCTTCCTTGGACTTCTTGATGATATCTGGCCACATCTAATCACCAGAAGCAAATCATATAAGACATCAAAGGTCGTGCACCGTGTTGCTGAAAGAAAGCTAAGAGGATTTGCTACCTCAGGTGTGCTTCGAGGATAATGGACGGACCCCGAGAAGAGCAACTCTCGCTTCCCATTTATGATCAGAGAGCGGCCATCGTAGGTCACCCCTCCACCGCTGTTGGCCTGGCGAGCCTCACAGGTGGCGGCCAGGACGGCGAGGAGGAAGACAACGATGAAAGACCGCGCTGTGGTCTCCGAAGACACTGCCATGGCTTCTCAGTTCTTTTGCTCCAGGAGTGGAATAGGATGTCTTCCTGACACTCTAAAGGTAGATAACAGACCGATGGAAGGGAGGGGGGGCCGCGCTCGTCCTCTGCATGAACGAGGAACGAGAGCAGGAGGCGGAGGCCCAGTACCCACTCGGAGGAAGGAGGAGGGGGGAGGCACTTAAAGGGAGGGAGGGGGAGGCGAGGAAGGCTCGGTCCTCGTGAGGCCATGAAAAGCTCCGGGAAAGAAGGCGATGCTGATAATAACAGCCATTCGCCGTTGCATGGAGGAGGAGCAGTATGCGGCCGAGCTCCTCGCTTTTTGACTACTCAACGACAACCAGCGATAAGCCTCTCAAGATTTTGTGGTTGACCAGGTCACATTCCCACATCTATTCCGCGGAAGCATGAAGCCACCATAACTAATAATGAGATTATAGTGTCCTATATAAAAGTAATATCTTATTCTTTTTTATTGTCATATCCTAAAGATTTTCAAAATATAAGGCACTAAATTTAATATTAAGTGTGAAAAAATAAAATACTATCATTTATTTTAAAATATGTCAAAACCTTTATTTTTTTATTTGAAACCATTCAACTTCTCATACAAAAATATTTTATAATGCTTTAAAAACTATAATAAAATTGATAATTATGATTAGTGAGGATTTGAATTAATTGAAACTCGATTACGATATTTTGGTTCATTGTAACCAAGTAACGTCTCATCATCTTTTGGTGTCATTTTTATTCTTTCATGATAAGTAAATATTTTTATTCTTTCATGATATTTTCATTATAAAGGTTATTTAAAAAATATAAATCTAAAATTAAGGTTAAATGTGAAAAAAGGGATTTATCATCCTTTATTTTGATATATATATATATATATATATATATATATATATATATAGTTTTTAATTTCCTTCTAAAAGAACTCAAATCCTCAAATAAATCATTATATGAAATAATTAAAGTTGATGAAAATTTGAACTAATTAAAGCTATGTTATATTATTTTTTTAAAACAGAACCACAATATGTTTTATTCAATAATAGAAAAACATTGTGACTCTATTTAAAAATATTGTAACTGATTTAGTATGTTTTTATGATTTTGAAGAGTTGGGTTCCCCATAGCCTTTTTTGAAATAGGTTGACATCCGTAAAACTAATTCAAAACATGAGGATTTTTCCAAAAAAAAAATTTGACCATAAAATTATATGTTTTGTCACCAAAGCAATAATTTCCCCAAAAAAACAAAAAAGTAGTTATTTCTTGCTAAGACGCTGTTTCTGCCCGTCTCCGTACCCGCCTCGTAATAGGAGTAGAACAACGCTACCTCCACATGGTATGGCAGGTACACGATCGGGTAAGTGGAACTCTGGTTGATAAAGTATTGCTCGCGGAAAGCAAATTCTTTAACGTCGACGTAAACTTTGCGCACTCGCTGGCCACCTCAGCCAACAGCGCATCGCGATCCACGTGGCACTGAGAAGGTGCGCGTGTGTGTCATCTGCGTGGGTGTCAGTTTGGGCCTCACTCGAACGTCGCCGCGCGTCCACGTGGTCCTCTAGGATTCATGATTCATTACTATGGCCCTAAGTGGCACAAATTGGAAGACGGCGACGTCGGGTCTCGATGTTGCCATTGCCGACAATGTTCATTCATCTTCTTGGTTGGGGCGCAGATGTGATGACGTGCAAGGTGGGCCTTGGTGTCGTTATCTTTCTCTCTCTCTCTCTCTCTGCGCTCGATATTAACAGAAGGAGAGGTGAAGAAGCGGGGTGCTCGTAGCGGTCCTGGTGTTCTTGTTCTTGGTTCATGTATTTCTTCTTCATGTCAAGGGGATGGAGGGGTTTGGAGCCGAACTGGGAGGGGTTGAAGGTGGGGTTGGTGAGCACGGCATTGGGGTTCTTTGGGTTCGGGGCGGGGCTGACGGCGGGCGTCGTCGTCGGGTACTACATCTTCATTCACTTCCAGCCTTCCGATGTCAAGGTACGCGCCGCCGGGTTGATTTTGTATTCGGTGATGGTTTGTTTGATATGAGTTTCGCGTTACTTTTGACTTGGCATGGGAGGAATCGAACATGTAATTGAGCTTCTTGATCCGATGACCGAGCTGCAATTCCTTGAATGATAATTTCTATTTTGTTTTGGTGGAAATTGAAAACCGTAGTGCTCTAAGTGGGATTCCATGGTGTTGAAATGTGATGTTCTATCTGAATTTTCGTGTGCCTCAATTGATTATCGCAAGTTCTTGTTGTTCACTGCTTTTGGAGGATAATCACCTTTACAAAGTATACAAGTTAGGGCTTTTCCGATGTGGAGCTTGACATATGAACTTCAGGATGATGATCTGGTTTAGGGTCTTTTGTAAAATGCAGATCAATTTGGTAACCCTATTAGTTTGTGGACCAAGCTATATGTGTTCTACTTTCAAGCTTTATATGATTTAATATCTCTTAGAATCTCGTGTGAGTTAGATTTTGCATAAATAATTACACATCTAGATCGGCAACTAGAAATTGCAATTCGATAAATCAACATTGAAACATTGGCAACAAGTTTATGTCCAGAAACTTAGATATTTGTTCATTTCCTGTATTATTTGTGCTTGTTTTCATAATTTTTGGTTGAAATTCCATGACAATATAGTTGTTGTGGTTTACTGTGTGTTGTTTATAGAGTTCCTTGCTTTCACAATTAACATAGGTCCAACCAGTTATGCCATGAATTATTTGTGTTGCTTGCTCTCTCTTTCCCATATCTTTTTAATTTTTTGTCATTTTCTTTACATGTGTGTCTGCATTCTTTTTTCTTTTTCTTCGCGTTTTGTAGAAGGTTGGTTCCATTTCTTTGGGATGTCATTTCCCATACTTGAGTGGCACATACAGTCTGGATTCTGGAAGCTGCTAGTACATATCTAGACAAAAAAAAAGGAGAGTGCATTTCTAGAAGGTGTTTCAAATGGTGAGTTTACTTGAGAAATATTTGGTCCTGAAGTGGGCCATAGTGTCACGGACTTAGTTGGAATTGCCTAAGTCGCGAGGCACCCTTGCAGCAAAGACGCGAACTTAGCTTGCGTTACCTAAGTCGCGCTTCACCCTTGCGATCAAGTCCCGACGTCTCGCGAAAAGGTGAAGCTTTACAAGCAATTCAGCGAGCACCTTGCGTGCACAAGAGAAAAGAGGGAGAGGAGGAAAACAAGGACTTTAGAAGGTTGAACGAACAATTGCAAGTCCACAAACAGCTGCTCACCAGGTGCCGAGCGCGACAACAAGTTCCCGTCAAGGTAACGTGCGAACTTGCGAAAGATTGTTCAACGCCCGACACTATACCGAAGCCCCATCCCCCATGGTGCCACCCGATGGTTCCAAGGTGCTGAGATGGCTGATGTTTCGCGTGCAGCAACGGGCTGCAGAAAATAGCCCGTGGCACGCGAAAACGAAGCTATTTTGGGCTGTTTTGCTCGGTTCGGTGAGCGGTCGTACTGTAGCGGTGCAACTTGTTCGAACTTACATTTTTACAAGCAAAAGGACTTAAAACCATGCTAAAACATACTACCAAGCAGCTGTACATGTAGATCAGAGCGACGAATGGTTCGTTGAACGGAGTTGTTGCGGGTGCGCGACGACCGTTCGTGACATTCTCCCCCACTCAAACTGTCGACGCCCTCGTTGACGC